CGTGTGTATGTGGGATGCCCATGAGATATGGACGTAAGCGGCTCTCTATAGCCCAGAGGACAGGCTAACCCACTGCAAGTCCGTGGAGCAGAGGAAGACCACTGATCAAGTTACCTTACGATTAAGATGATTTCATGGGATATAATGAGTGGCAAAGGTTAAAAAATAGAATTCCCAATCTCTTGTTTCACTGAAAACAAAAATATTTTTTAAAAAAGATTTATTTATTTTAGAGAGAGAGAGAGTGCTAGAAACAGCTAATAAGGAGGGGAGGCGCAGAAGGAGAGAGAGAAATCCAACCAGACTTTGTGTCCCCGTAGCGGGGCTCGATCCCACAACCTTGAGATCACAACCAGGAGTTGGCCACTCAACCGACTATGCCGCCCGGGCGCCTCCTAAAAACAAAAATATTTTAACAAAACTGATTTCGGTTACCTAGTTTTTGGTCTGATGTAAGTATTAAAACGTAGGTCTCCAGATTCATGGTTGTGATAGTCGGTATAGAAGTTCCCTTGTAGGCAAGAGTGATACAACTTTCCAAACTGACTCACTTTTGCTCATTTTTTCCCCTTAAAACTAAGAAGCCTACGAGTCTGGCTCTTTCTGAAGTTCAGTCAGTCCACAGGTGCGTCTCTCGGGGACAGCACAGGGAAGATGGATGTGGCTGTGCCAGCATCAGTGGCTGTGCGCACCTGTGGGTCCAAGTGCCGACTCGGAGCCCTTCCTTCAACAGCCACGGTCTGGTCGCGACGATGCCGGGTGCTAAAGCCATACCAGAGGGCCGAGACTCAAACCCATCCGTGTGCCCTCGAGCAAACAGTGACTTCACGTCACAAGGCGCGTGGTTCCAGAAACGACAACAACTGCTGTGCGCGGGGTCTGGGCGGGGAGGTGCCAGGCCCGTGGTTCCCTGCAGGGGCATCGCAGGGAGGGCCGGGAACCGAAGCCCGGACCGTAACTCAGAAGCACGATCTCCACCCAGACTTGGGCTGGTGGCTGGTTTCTGGCAGGAGAACTGCCTTTAGGCATGATGGAGAACTAAAATTAGGGCGTTTTCTTTTAAAGGGAAAATCGAGAGAGACTGCACTTAGCGAAGGAAGAGCCGTTTGCGCAGGACGCAGAGCCGGCCTTGCCCACCTGTCCCTGGCGGAAGGGGCCCGAGCAGGTAACTCAGAGAGACTTGTTTCCTCCACCATGAACTCAGGGGACAGAGGCCGGATGAGACCTACAATCCCTCCAGCTCTGAGGTTCTACTGTTCTGTCACGGAAACCAAACCCTCTTAGAATGCAGAACGGAACATTATCTTCCTTCTTTTTAAAAAATTTTATTTGAGAGAGAGCGCGAGCAGGGGAGGCAGAGGGAGGGAGAGAATTCCAAGCAGACATCCCTGCTGAGCACAGAGCCCGATGTGGGGTTAGATCTCAGCACCCCAAGATCACGACCCAAGCCGAAACCAGGAGTCAGGTGCTCAACCGCCCGCGCCCCCAGAAACCCCTGAAACATTCTTGTTCTGATGAAAGAGCATAGGGATCTGTGTCAGAACTCTGACATAAGCCACCTCAAGTCCCCAAAGACAAGATTCAAACCGATACCCGTGGGTGCTGGGGCGGCAGTCCTCAGGGAACCGAAGGATACCCCGGCCTAAAGATGTGGGGCTTGGCGGGCCGTCTACAAGTTCACCGAAGTCATGCTTCACTCTGGGGCTCATGTCCAAGGCAAAAACCTGGGTAATTCCGATGTAGCCAAATCCACAAATCAGCTGTAGTTGGCAGGAATGTTAGCTGTTGGACGCTTCCAGGTGCCGCCCAGAATGGATGGATGGACAGAGGCAAAACCCACTTAGCAGCCGAGGGAAATTTTGTTTACGTGTCTGTGTGGCCTCAGATTCATGGCAACGGTTCTTTTGGGGCAGTGGCCAAAGTCCCTCCTAATCTTCTGGCCAGCTTTGGCTCTCCTCTGCGGACAACGTCTCAACTCTGTTCAACATGGTGCCATAGACAGCCATCAGAACTGGACGGAGGGTGACAGTCACTTGCCGTCCCTGAACTAGGCTTCCCATCAATCATCTAATGTGTCCGCCTCTCTCTCAGTACTTCAAAAGAGCACCACCTTAACTAGAAATGCTTTTTAAAAACTAAACAGAGCAGGGACGCCTGGGAGGCTCAGTCGCTTAAGTATCTGCCTTCAGCTCAGGTCATGATCCTGGGGGTCTTGGGATTGAGCCCCCGAGTTGGGCTCCCTGCTCAGCGGGGAGCCTGCTTCTCCCTCTCCCTCTGTTCCTCCCCCAGCTTGTGCTCGCTCTCTCAAATAAATAAATAAAATCTTTAAAAAAAAACACAACTAAACACAACAATGCATTTTCTGAGTAAAACGTGTATCAGTGTATATGGCGGGGCGAGGGGCATCCTGGACAAATGCATGGTATAAATTACTGATTCCAAATGATTAGACATTATTACTGAGCTAATCTAGGACTTGAATAGTAGAGTCCCCATTATTCTATTGTAAATCCTGATAATCAAAACAAGGAATTCCTTTATTCAAAAAGTAAACAAGAAAAAAAAAAACCCAAATCTTCTACATGTTCCTTAACCTACTCAGTGCAGCACATGGGTTTCACCCTTCTCATGCCAGCCTTAAAAAGGGAATTAGTGAAACGGCTTCCAACCAGTCAGACCTGTGTGCTTTCTGTACCGTCTTCTCTGCAATGAGCTGTGAAAGCCCGGAGTGTAGCTGCTGTAAGCTGGCATGTCTCACAGTGAGCTCTCTGTTCCTGTCTAATTGCACACGTATGTGCGCGCACACACACTCACTACCTTTGTCATTAATATGTCTTTTTCAGATTCTTTCAGAGTCTCTGGGCCCTGTGGGACTCTGACTCGAGAAAGAAGGCATTTTAACAAACTCTGTGAGGATGTTTCTGCAAGGCCACTTCTTCCCCACAGGAGAAACTGACGTTCAGCGAATGGGTTTTTCCAAACTGCCCACCTGCCTTCCGCCCAGCACGGCTACCAATGGGGAAGACGACAAAAACAAAAGCAAAAACACGACTTTGCTGCAAGGAGATGTGGAAAGCAAAAGCACGTTGAAAACCAAGTTTCTCAACCCACAGCACTAAAACATGTACTACACATGTTTTCTCACGCTCAAGCTTCTGCTTTGGGGAAAAAAAAAGGCACAACAGGTTATGTGGATGGTGAAGGGCAAAGGAAGGAAGATTTAAAATAGAAATAAAACTTTCTTGTCTTTCTTTTTTAGAAAGAATGCTGTAGACATAAAAAGGCAAAATTCTGAGCTCATGGGGATGGGGCCGCAAAGACGAGCCTTTGCCAAGTGTCCTTTACAAGATTTACAAAGAAAAACTCCAACATCTTTCTTGTTCTTATTTTTAATTAAGGAGGAGGTGTTGTGTTCTAAGGAAGCTATGCGGATGCTGTTGGCTGAAACGCAGATTGGATCTTCTCGTGCTGGTTAGCTAACATTGATTTTCTGCCCCAGTGGAAGAGATTTTACTCTGATGCATGCCATTTAAATTCATTTTACACAGCTGCTTAATGTGGCTTGGCAAGGCACAGCCAAACTAGCTTTGTGGGACTAAATAGAACTCCAGAGTTGGTGAGGGACAGATCCTATGGATTAGCAGCTGATGATGAATGCCTCCCTCTCTCCACTGTTATTTTCCTACTGACTCATGGACTGACCTTGAAGGTACCACAAGAGAGGAGGAAAAGAGGAAAAGACAAAGTCCCAAAAGAATTATGTTTACCTAATTCTACATTTATTATTTCGCTTTTAGGATTATGTTTACAAAATTCTGTATTTGTTGGCCCACGTTTAGGACCATGTTTACAGGATTTAGAACTCTCAACTGCAAAATTATCATTTGCTCTTGCTGTCTAAATAAATGTATCCCGAATATAAAACTAGTGGAAGGCTGTCTGTGTTACGTATTCACAACAAGTCGTGAAAGCACCGTTGTATATGTTTAATCTTTAAACAAAGCCAGCGGACTGTTCCCCGTTTTATCTTCAGCAAAAATGTGGTGTGTTTCTACTGCAGCTACTGAACGGAATTCAATCTCTGTGGGATAATCTTATCATTACGATATGGGAAACAATATCAATAATAATATTTTCACTAAATAAATTGCTCAATAATAATATACCATAGGAGCATTTACTAACCTAAAAATGGTGACAGCCTGCTCTTATAAAGCTCTGTAGTAAGGAAAGAAGAAAGACACTTTTTGTTGCTGTATGTAATTCCTGTGTTGAAATTGACAATATGGCAACACTATGTTTAGAAAGCAAATTCTGCGTTGGAGGATTTGGTTGCATTTTTCCGGTGACTTCAATATTCTAAAACTCCTTGGGAGAAGGAAGTCACAGAAATCTTTGGCACAGGTGTCTGTTCAGTGATGACATAATGAAACCCCTCTTAAGTCCTATTAATAACCTGAGTCATGTCTCCTGCAGCGAGTCTCCTGTCAAATAAGGTCGCTGTGCTCGGAATTCGGGAGTGTGTGTGGGAGCGGGTCACCGTAGTGGCGGGAATGACAGTAACACAGTCGTGGTAACAGTGCTGTACGACACAAGTTCCCAGACGACATGAGGACGACAGTGGGGGAAATCACGCCAGGGGAGGTGACCTCATTACTCTGATGGAGCTCAGAGTGTGCATTTCCCTCTCAGGCATGAAGGAGAAGCAGCCATGCCCAAAGCCATGCAGAGACGGGATCCGGGGACGGCATGCAGGGCGCCACCACACTACCACGGAACCGTCCAGAAGAGTGAAAAACGAACAGAACAAAACGAACAAAAACCCCGAAACAAACGAAAAGAAACAAAAAGACGACCCCCTCTGGGACGGATTTCCTCTCAGGTCTTTTGCTTTCTTGTTTGGGCTGCTCCCTTCGCAGCCGGATGGCAAGGTCATTAACAGTTGGAAAAAAAAAACAATGCCCAGGTCCCGCAGCAAGTCAGGGTATGTGGCTACCTACCCGTACTGGTCAGGCTGGTGCATCATGGGAGCCTGAGAGCTGCCATAGTTGGGGTGCTGGGAAGAAAACATGGGGCGTCCCCCAGCCCCAGACTGGCTGGGATAAGCAGGCGACCTAATGTATGGTGGCCTAAAGCAGAACAGAAGAACAACTTCTTTGGATTTGTTCTGTAGAAAGTCTGAACCCCCTGCGCTTTCGGTTCTCTCCACGTGTGGGTGTGAGCGCTAGACTGTGGCCTCGGCCTCTGTCCCATGCAGCTGCCTGCCAGGGGGACCGGAGATGGTTCCTCGAAAAAAGGGCGGGGAGGAGGGCAGGGCGAAGGAGAGAGATGGGGAAGACTGTCAGAGCTGGTCCCCATGCATACGTCAGCGCACCCCTGACTCCGGGACAAGCCAAAACGCACAGTCCTCAGAGCGCCCCGAGGGCTGCAGCGGGCGGCCCAGGAAGGCAAGGCTCTGGGGTGGCCGGCCACTCAGAGGCAGATGTGACAAGCCAGGGATGTGTTCCTCTGCATGAATCGGTGGAAAATGCCACATCGGCTGATTCCGGAAGGGAACAGCGCAAGACATTTACGTGGAACAGCTGGTTATGCCCTGTCCCTCTGGGTGTCTTCCTCCCAGGCCACCAGCCGCAGCCTCTGATGCCATCCGGCACTTTCCACCTGAGAGGAGCTGGTGCAACCATGGACAATTCGGTTCAACTGATCTCAGAACTTCAGCTGGACCAGGCGAACCGGTGTTTGTGGACGGGTTTATTAAAACACTCCCTAAGGCCTGTGTGGGTTCTGTTTCGTATAGAAAGGGGTGGGGTTTGGGAGATTTTAAGGAGCTGTAATATGGATGAGAGAGAGAAAGAGAATGACTGACTTTCATTTTGATTCCTCAAGGGAAATTTATCATTATTTGGAGCAAACGTGAGACTAAAGGGGTCCCTAACATTCCCCAAATAGCAGCTTCAGAGGAAAAGTAACAAAGGGACACATTTAAACACACACACACACACACATTTTTCCTTCCCTTTGACAAAAATCTGATGCTTCTATCTTTTCTTCTGAAGACACCTTATCTTCATATGTAGCTTTCAATGTGCTTTAAAACGTATTTTAACATTTGTTCAACATAATGTAAAACATACCTATAAATGTTTCTCTTAAAACTATTCACTTCTGTCTCATAAATTTTTCATTAAGTATGTCATTTTTATGCAGGTTAAATAACTTCAACAATTTTAAAAATCAAGATTAAAAACAATTAAGTAACTGAGGCTGAAATCTTGCTCTGTCAACTTAAAACTTTATGAAATATTATCTTTGCTTTACTGGCCACATTTTCGTTTGGACAGATAGAGAGGTAGGCCTAGAAAAATAAAATCTACCATGAGAGTATGAAATCCATAATCTCACACAGAAACATTTAGACAAACACAAACAATACGAATATGTGCATAGACAAAGTTCCTATTTTATAAAGATTGTTATGGTGGGTTAAAAAAAGAAAGGAAGGTGGTTCTTTTTCAGTAGTTTAGATTTTAGAAGCCTACTTTTTCAGCTTTAGACCTTTCCTGCTTAATCCTTGCTCCTCTAACGGGACACCCAGCTACGCCGCCGCCCTGGGGCGCGGGTGGCGAGGTCTAGTCACAGTCACTCTGAACGAGCTCCCACAGCGGACTCGGCCACCACTCAGGTTCCCTCTGTGTCTCACAGATCGTGGTCTGCCACTGACTTCTCTGTACTTTTGGGACAGCGTGTGTGAACACCAAAGGGACAGCCAAGCCGAGCGACACCGCACTCCCCACCCCGGGTGACACGGGCGCAGGGCCCGCTCTCAGGTGCACACGCAGACCACCTGCCCCGACGGCATACCTGCTCTGGGCTGAGTTTGCAGCGGCCTGCATCACTGCGGCGGCTGCCTCCTGTGCCTTACGGTTCACGGTTGGCATCGGCGGCCCCATTCCTGGCCCTCCCTGCTGAGACATGCCGGGAGAACTGGGGGTCATGCTGCTCATATTTCCAGGAAATGGTCTGTTCTGCATCCCAGCTGATGGCATTCGTCCCAGGGGCATAGCACCACATGGCTGGCTTGGCCCTTGTCCATGCATCTGGTTGTTGGCATTGATGCCCATGCCGGGCCCCGGGCCGCTGTAGCTTGCACTGGGCACCCCGCTATACGTTGGGGGTCTGGAGTAGTTACCTAAACAAAAAGCAAACACAAATTAAAGCCTTTTACTCAGTATCTGAACTGGTGAGAACATTTGCTGGAAATGCTTCTTGTCCAACAATGTGGTCAACACAGAACGGCAGTCATTATCCTTATTAACCCTTCCCCTGTTGGCACAGATGAGGCTGGCTGTGTCAACACGTGCTCGCTCGGCCCATTCCAAAGGCAAAGAGCCACACAGGACCACTGCGAGATGGAGGGGACATGCAGGCTAATCATCCAGACCATCCAGAAACAGGCAGGGGATGCTGGTAGTGAGTATTGCCTCAGTCCACCCAACGTTCACATGCTTACCTTTTAAGCAAAGTCATGATTTCAACCCTAGTCCTTGGGAACACACCACTGAGAATGCGTGACTACGTCACCACTGTGCTCGACAGTCCTGATCTGGGGCTCTCAGAAAGACAACACGCGAGACAAATGTGTGCTCAAAATTATCCTCCAAAACCCCACAGGAGGGGCGCTTGGGTGGCTCAGTGGGTTAAGCCTCTGCCTTCGGCTTAGGTCAGGATCTCAGGGTCCTGGGATCGAGCCCTGCATTGGGCTCTCTGCTCAGCAGGGAGCCTGCTTCCCCTGCCCACCCGCCTGCCTCTGCCTACTTGTGATCTCTGTCAAATAAATAAATAAAATCTTAAAAAACAAAAATAATAAAAAAATAAAACCCCACTGGGGATGCCATGTGGGGGCTCAACAGTAGTCCGGCCAAACAATCTGCTTTTCTCTGGTGCTGGGAGCACATCTGGTTTGTTTGTGTGTTTGTTTTTTTTACCTGAGCACCAGATGAAGCAGCTAGTTTGTGCTTGGTGCCTGTCTTATGAAATACGGTTTCAAGCACTACCCGGACGTGGGCTCAGTGAAATGGGGACACCACGGGGAGCAGGCAGAGCCTGAGGAGGAAGTGAGGGACCACAAGTGCACCTCCAGCCTCCCTTCACAGTGGGGGACACACTGAGGAGAACGGGCTTTAAGGGTCCCAACTATTTCAGTAGTTCTGTCTTCTCTCTCCTTCCACACCTTTTATTTTGACTGAGTGTACATAGATTAAATTCAAATAAATTAAAGGCATATGTAACGTCATTCCAATAATAATAATAATTGAAGATAGTAACTGCCGAACCACACCACGTACGACACACGGGGCTAAATGCTTTGCTTCGATGATTACATTCATTTCTCCAATAACCACATGAAATACATATAAATGACGACGATTCCATCTACAAATGGAGAAAATCAACAGCTAGTAGGTTAGGAGTCAAGCTCAAGCAAAAAGATTCTGGAACCCATGTAATTAACCAATAAAACATGCTGCCTTCCCACAAATGATTACTGAAATAAAATGAATGTAAAAAGCATTTGTAGAATACAGATCAGTGTTTCTCAATCAATCCTTACTGCTTTCTGGAAGAATCTCCTTGTCAAAATAATGTAACTGTTCTAGGGGATGTAAAGTTAAATACAATGCAATTCCTGCACTCAAAAAGCTCAGTGTGTGTGTGCGTGTGTGTGCAGAGTAGCAGGGATAAGACAAGAAAGTGTATGAAAGCAGAAAAGAAAAAGTGCAAGAGTAAGTGTGCTTGGGAGTGGGACAGGGATCAGCGCAGTAGGGAGTTCAGGAAGGTTTCTTTGCTGGGCTGTGACCTTGGGAACCTGTGGGTGGGCAGGCCCTGGGACCTGGGGGAGCTGGTGCCGAGTGAAGGCTCCGCACAGACTGTCTCCAAGATCTTAACTTGTTCTCCTCTTTCTTGGTTTCATCCTCTTCTCCATAAGCCAAAGATAATCCCCTCTACTACTGTCTACTTGAGTTCTTGCTAGGGTTAAAGGACATTATGCATGGGAAGTACTGCGAACAAGCATGTGAAAACGGGAGGGAGCAGGTATCTGGGTGGCGAGTCAGGCAGAGGAGAGGACAGCACACGTTACATCGAGCCGGACAGCACAGAAACTCAGGCCACTGATGAGCTCTGTGCGGCTGTGTGCCGGGCACCCCGGGGTTAGAGGGCACGTTCAGTAGGGCCTTGTGTTTCAGGCCTCCAAGTGTACGGTTTATCCTGAAGATAAAGAGGAGTATCTCCAGGTTTTCCAGCAGAAATTGGATTTGATGAGTAACAATACTAAAAGCAAACACTTAATATTTACCGTGTGCTAAACTCAATTCCAAATTCTGTGTGAACTCATTTAATCCTCGTATCAAGCCTAAGAGGCCTCTGTTATTACAATCCTAATTCTGGAGATGAGAGACCTGAGGCACAGGATGTTAAGGAGCCCGTCTCAAGGTCATGGGCCTACTAAGCAGAGAAGGCACGGTTCGCACACAGGTAAAATCTGTGTGTGCAGTTCAGAGTCCGAGCACATGACACTACCGGGTGGCCTCTCAAACGCTTAAGGAAAAACTACACTTACGTGACACATCATCACAACTGTAAAACGAGGTTTCCTTAATCTACACGTGTGAAACTGCATCACCTATAAACCTACAAGAGATCTGCGGCCTTTTCAATAGGGCCTGGGTGCATCACGTGAGCTTTCTCGTTGGGTGTCCGTGGATTGTGTTATTTATTGCAGATGGTGGGAAGGTCACCATTCACAGGGACCATGGGCTGACACACTTGCTGTAAAGGTCTGGATGGTACATATTTTAGCTATATGGGCCAGATGGTCTCCATACACAAATGAGAGTGCCTGTGTCCCAATAAAATTTTATTTACAAACACAGGTGGTGGGCCAACGTTGGTCATAATCTGCTGGCCCCTGCTGCAGACCAATCTCAGGACGAACCAATATAGTGCTCCGCCAGCACAGAAGGGGACTTGTTACAACCAGCAACTTCTTCAACCCCGAATGTCCTCTGGAAGGCGAAGGAAAGCCTAAAGGGGATTGACAACAGAGTGATGCCCCAGCAGTTCCAGGAACTGGAAATGGGAGGAAAACAAAAGAAACTAGAAGGAACAGGAGAGGTGTGAACAGGTACCACTCAGGTCCTCATGAGTCAATCTTTAACGGCCAGCTCCTTGAATTTACACTGCCTTTTCCTAAGAAAATACTCTGCCTTTGCGGAAATAATCGGACACTGTTTTCATGTAAGACGTAAAACATTCACTGTTGATCAATTTCAAAGTTCTTTATAAAAAGTTCTTCAGTTGTTTTGGAATCTCCCATCCCACAGGACAACACATAAGGTCCCCCGTCTGTCTTCCTGTCACACCATTGTGGTGGAAAGGGCACCTTATGCTTCCCAGGCTTGTGAGGGACACGGCACGGTGGGCAGGCTGCTGGCCTGCCTCTTCCTACGCCTTCTTGGAGCACAGGCCTCCGAAGGCTTCTCTGTGGGCAGAGTTTTAAGACTTCTCCTCTCCATCCTCACTGACCTCACACGCCCTCGCTTCCAGACAGTCTGATAGCATCAGGGAACACAGCGCTCTTTTTTGGCTCTTGCTTTTATTAAAAATAAATAAACTCATTCACAGTTCGAATGCAAATGAAATTAATTCACATATTCATTCGATTACTAGCTCCCACCCTCCCCCAGCACTTGGTAAGTGACTCATTTGGTAAGAAACCGGATTCAGTGAAAACATATGTACCCTTTGCTTTCGAAGGAAATGAAATAACACTTGAATCTTGTTTTAGAAAACAAGCGTTTGGACATGGTTATGGCAGACGGGCCCACAATGCAGTTTTGTTAGAGAAGTTAGTTCCTGATTTTGTTGAACTCTGCTTTCGGTTGGAACAGAGAAACCCTGTCAGCCTGGGCTCTTGCACTTTGGGTATAACTGGCAGTCAGGGGCTGTGTTTTAAGGAACACAAAGGAAAGAAATGACTGAGATGTTCGGTTACCCTGGACCCTACTTCTTCCTTCTCATTCACGGTGCGTGCTAAGAGGAAGGGCTGCGTTTCAATGGCTTTGCTCCACTCTGCAGCTGGTCTGCGGACAGCAGGTGGGCGGGGTCCGTGTGAGCGCACAACCCCGGTGCACACTCACACACGCACGCAAGCACTTGTGCTTAGAAAGGCCCATTGAGTGCTGTGCTCCCAATCTCATTCTCCTCAATCAGTTGGGTTGATTCCATGAATTGGCACGCAAAAGCACACGTCAAGGGAATCCGTTCTAATTACAGAGGCCTCTGTTTGGGAGAAGAAATACAAAGTCCCCTTTTCTTCTCCTTGAAACGCTAAAGACTTTCCTCATTAAACTCACATGCCTGGATAAAAATGCTTTCTAAAGGCTTTAAATGGCTTAAGAGGCAGCAATGGACGAAGTACAGGCTCTAGAATTTGGGTCTGAATAGCAGCATGACCTTGGATAAGTTACTTAACCTGTCTGACCATCGGTTTTGCCATCTGTAAAAGTAAGCACGATCATGGGGACCTGGTACCAAGGGACTAGCAGAGTGCCGAGCACAGAGGCCCCGCATACGTGAGAGTGGCCACCATCATCATCAACAATCACAATACTGTCAGCATCGTGGATAATGGATGATCTTTCCTTGTAATCTTTTTAAAAAATGTGTGGAAGGAGTGAAAAGTGATTAATGCACCCCCTTTGCCTTCTCGATAACACATCTTTCTCCCCCAAATAAACAAAAACCAAACATGTAAGCCAAGCAAAATATGAGAGGAAAAGCCAGGAATGAGAAGTGCAATCTTATTTCCATGTTTCTCTAATAGATTAGTAATTTGTTGGCACCAGCGCCGACAGAAAACAGATGGATCCAGCGTTAAGCACAATGAAGGCAGCAGATGCTGGGCCAGCCCACCTCAGCTGGACGGATCTTGCAGCCAAGTCCGAGAGCCCACAGTTTTCAAGTGGGTTCATCTTGGCACACCAGTTTCGGGAAATCGGTCACCAGATAAATTCAGATTTCAGCCCACCAGGAGGTGTAGTCAAGCACTAGCTGGAGCGGGACTCTGTTCGAGTCACATTATTATTTTAGCGGGATCGCAAAAAATTCTGTACCTGACTCTGGAATATT